GATAATGCTTTTTCGCTTGAATGAATATTCCTTTGCGGTTAATGAACAGCAAAAGGTGTAATAACTTTGCTTGAACAAGACGCCCTACAAGCGTTCACTGGGTTGCTTGTATCATGCCAGAGGCCTAGTTGTAATGTTAGTCAAAAGAAAGTGGAATGGTTCACAGAAAAAATGATTTCGTTTAACTTTTAAGACGATATTTGCAGGTTCTGTACTTTTTTAGGCCACTAAATAAACAGTTTTGCGTTATGCATGTCACACTACTTGTGAATTTGATCTTGCGGCGTGACGCAACAAGATCAAATATCGCAATGTTCTCTGTCAGAATGACCAAAATAGTGCAATAGTACACAGAAGTCTTCACGGCACCACCCACTAGTCCTTTGTGGGCATATGACGATCCAAGTGCAGTAAATGTTCTTGTCAGTAAACTTTGCCAGGAAAGATAGGAAAGCATAGGTCTAGTTTTCGCGGATCGATATATTACTGATAACGTCTGATCGAACTAATCCAAATGGCTAATTATTACAAAGGAAAAACGCTATGAAAGAAAGATGCAAACGTGCGCGCATTGGACTGATTGTTACACCTTCACCGTAAAACCTTTTCCTATTGGCTAGTAAATCTCGTGGGCATTTACCGTGGCTTTTCAAATATTTAAGCGCGCCAAAATGCAAATGATGCACACTTGCTGCATGGACTTCGGTTAGGTGAGTAAGAAAGGTTATTTTCTTTTGCAAAAATAATAATTTTACCTYCAAAATGACTAGAAAACTTACAATTAATAAACCACTTCGTAAAAACAATAATATTTTTAACTTATCTTCGGACATTCGTTTTGAAAAGTTTTGGAAAACTGAGAAAATTTGCACAAACGATTCGTAGCCCTCGACGAGCAAACATCGTGCACGCTTCAAAATGCGAAGGAATAATCCCCTTCTGTGAGTTTTAGTTTGGTTGCTTCTTTGACAATGTATAGAGAAACACTAGATATAAACACTAATAAGTATTGCAATGCACTCAATTTTGTTTTGAAAGGACAAGTAGTATGAGAAGTAGGAATTTTCAAAGCACTGAGTTCGGAGAAGTTTAACGCCATATTTTAAATTACTTTCACATGGAACATTAAAACTCAAAAGTCGTCGAGGTAGA